AAAACGGGCAGAATTTTGTGCCTAAATGGCGTTGAGCGGACATTATTGCCTAGCGAGGTTCTAGGTACAGAATACGTCCTTCTTCTTCTTTCTGCTTGTCTTCCTCTCCGGCCAAAGGTGCCAAGAATGATTCGAAGGGTCCTGGACCCGCCACACACCGTCGCCAGGTCGCCGCCCGAGCGCCTGGGAGCCCGTCCAACACGGGTTCCGGAGCAGCCGGACCAGGATCATCCGAATCGGATGTCCATAGGAGCTCCACAAGAGGTACTTCTTTTGGAAGAACGGACTCAATGTTCTTCTCGCCTCGAAAACCATCAGAAGAGGAGGTATACCTGGACCCTATATAGTATAGAAAAATATTGGACGTGGGAGTTCCTGACATGTTCACACTCGGCAAGGCTTGTTTGTGAGCATGCGCTGCGTTGGGAGGTTCTTTGATGATCTTCAGAAGTCATAGGCCGACGGATGCCTGTTTGGTTCGGCCTGTGGATTCTTTGACTGATATAGCATTGTTTGAGAGTTCTGATGCAGTGCGTGCGTATGGCCTCTTCTCGTGATGTACAGTGATAGTGATTTTGGACCACAGCAATGTGACCATTCATGCTTCATTGCGCCCATTCATGACTTCTGCACCTCCAAATCATCCACAAATCCACAAATCAAACACCTTCACCCACGAAAGGCCCGCTGATCAAGGCCTTCACCCCTTCTGGCCCTGAAGAACCCTCCTTCCGGGGTCTTCGGATCCGGATTCCGACGCCGATGAGGTCTCCCAGTTACGAGGCGCAAAAGGCCCGCCACGTGGCGGTCGAAACGCCCGCAACGCTGGTGACGTCGTCGTCTGTCATGGTTGGTATCAACTGCAAAAGGCCGGTCATGGCACCAGGAGACCCTGGTGGAAGGTCGTTACAGGGTGGAGTGCTCCAGGACCCTGACCCGTCTCCCGTCATCAGGATCAGACGCCTGGCTGCGGAGCAGCAGAACTTGCATCTGAATTCATTGAGATTTGTTGTTTTTTTCATGTGAGAAGAGTACATATCTCAATTCAGGTCTTCCAATTGGATGTTTCTTGGTGGAGAGTAGTTCACTGCCGCTGCGTTTTTGCGGTTTGGAAGTAGGACATGCAGGGATCAGGACGTCGATCCGCCGACGAGGCCTTCCATGTCGTCCGGGAAAAGCCATGGAAACGGGCCCGGCGATGCGAGTGCTTTGGGGGGCGCCCCATCCACAACAGATTGGTTTGACGACGACCCCGAACTCCTGGATGTTATACTTGCTAAAAAACAATGCATGCAGTTAATGGCTACATATATATGGCTTATTATTGGACACCCCTTAGGGGCCCCTGGTACAGTTTGCTTTGGTTCTTTTGCGTTTATATTCTTGGCTCGAAAATGACGTCACATTTTGGGGGTCCAGGGCATGTCAAGTGCGAAATCCGGAGGGCGACGAGACCCACCTTTTCCGAGGTTTCAGATGGTACATGCTGAGGGGACCAGAGCATTTGTGCAGGTTCAGCGCTCGCCTTCTCCTTCGAAAGAAGAAGAAGAAAAGAAGAAAAAGCTCGTTCAAGCCTAAGTTTAGCTGATTCCTGCCTAAGCGGTGCGTTTGTGCAGAGCTCAATTGTACTGTGGTCGCACAGTAAAGTGGCGTAAAGGTTTCAACCTGAAGGCTAGGCTTCCGATTGTCCGATCAATTTTCGAACAGCATTGACAGTGTGACACTGCAGCGTGCTGGCGCCCAGGAAGAGGAGAAGGCAGCCAAGGAAGCTGAAGAAGAAGCTGTTGCTCGGTGGCTTTTGTCCTGGTTTGATCACAATGAGGATTTCCAGAATCTTATGTATACACAAGTGCTGCGATTGATTCCGTGGCTTGAGAGCTTGTTTGTGGCATATATCCTTGATTTGGGACACCTTGTTTGGCGAGCTGATCCTACTCTTCTAGTCTAGTCTCATGCAGGGCCAGGAGGCCCTGCTGCAGCATGTATTCTCTCGACTTTCACGTCCTGAAAAAAAAAGCACAACGATGGAGAACCGAAAGCACTTCTTCCCTCCACTCCCAGGAACTGGAGACCACTTCGGATGGTCGACGGGAGTCGAACGTATCGAGTTTTGCTCGTTTTGCGGCCCAGTCAAATTACAACATGGTGGTGCTTTTCTTATTCCCAGTGCATCCAAAAATGACACGCGTCTGTGTGACAGTGGGTCATGACTGGATGAGGTAAATGCATGTAACTCTTCCAGTCCCATGGATGATTTGGGTCTCATGGCTGCATCCCAAAACCGCTGATGTCTCCTCCGTCTCAGGCAGCCAAGAAGAGGATGGAGGTGGCACAGTGGGGTACGGCCAGAGGGGCGGCCGCTGGTGAGGCAAAGATACACACGATGTTTGAGGTGGATGTTATGTTATATATAATATTATACAATAACTCTATGTATATATATATATATATATACAATGTATTATGTTGGACAACCCGGTGTTTTTTGTGTGATCTTTGGTTGAGTTCAAGGATCATATCATTGGTTGTTTCGTTGCTGAGCTGAGCTGGCTCTTGAGCATCGTAAGAACGACCAAAGAGTCTTGTTGCTTGTTGCTGGTGCCCCTTCCACGGTCAGCCCGGTGGATGATTTGCAGAACTGGAGACTGCAAGCTACCAGCTGCTACCAGCTACCTGCTTCCGCTTCCTGCCACCCAAGAGGATTCCAGACCAGACCGGGGAACCCCCGAGTCAGTCGCAAAGCGCCACGCGCCCCAAGAGGTACGGTGTCATTTCATAACTATATAACACGCTTCAGGATCAAAGGGCATTTCTACTTACTAGGAGCAAGAAGCTACTAGGAGCAAAGGGCAGTTGAATGCAGTTTTCTGCGGGTTCTTCGGGACGATTCTTTGAGCGTTGGGGACTGAGACCATGTTTCTTCTTCGCAGGTGATGGTGCTGGGACTGTGATGTTCAGGTAGATCCATTCTTCTGGATGCGAATTCCAACACCACTCATGTCCGGGGGAGCTCAGACCATGGCACCGCCTGGCCTCCAATACGGAGCCCCTCTTCAAATCAACCTTTAGAGCCTCTAGGTGATTCCTCAAGAGGCATTGACATCCGGGATTTGACATACATATTTCCTTCAACATTCATCAAAGGTTTGAATCTTGGTGCCGTGATTGATTCAATCTTTTTCGCCCTTCGTGCACCTCAAAGCCCCCCATCAGTCAGTCCGGTTACAGGGCGCAGGGAAACCATTGGACATCTACTGGAATCCTGGAGTAGAGTCTATCTAGGGGAATCAGAGGAGTTGTTTAAGCCAAGAATGATAAGCTAATATGTTTATGCATGTTTATACCCTGAAGAAGCTCTTCCTGACAACTTCATTGCTTATCCAGGCTAGAGCCGCCCGGGCTGCGGAAGAAAGAGCGGCCAAGGAGAAGGCATGGCACCACGACGATACTTTGAATCGGTTATATATTATATAAGTATATGAGTAATGCGTATATAAATTGTAAGGGCTCCGCCCGGGTGCCGCCGACCCCTTTTCATCTCGAGGGTTTGGCGGTTGAACCTTGACAACTTCCTGGGATTCAACAGCGAGACTTGGATGGGCTTCACACCAATGCTGGCATTCAACCAGCTGCCGAGAAGAGGGCAAGGCTGCGGTGAGGCTCTGGGGAGCGTTTGAAGCCGAACCAAAATGCCTAACGTTGCCTTCGGAAGCCCATAAGAAGAGAGGAGGCAGGCTTCGGAAAGGCGACAGAGAGGCGGCAAGAGGCCTGCGGGCTGCCGAGAGGCTTTTGAAGCGGGTCCAAAATGCCTAACGTTGCCTTCGGAAGCCCATAAGAAGAGAGGAGGCAGGCTTCGGACAGGCCACAGAGAGGCCGCAAGAGGCCTGCCGGCTGCCGAGAAGCTTCGGACAGGCCACAGAGAGGCCGCAAGAGGCCGAAAAGCTTTTGAAGGCGGTCCAAAATGCCTAAACGTCGCCTTCGGAAGCCCAAAAGAAGAGAGGAGGCAGGCTTCGGACAGGCCACAGAGAGGCCGCAACAGGCCGGCCAGCTGGTGAGGCCTCGGACAGGCCTTTGGAAGTGCTTGGAAGGGCTCTGCTAGGCTTGGCCAACTGCTGCATCCTGCGCCTTTGGAAGTGCTTGAAGGGTTCTGCTAGGCTTGGCCAACTGCTTCACCCTGCGGTGTCCCAGGCGCCTCCCCGCCTAGGCTTTGGCTATAGGCCGGGGTCGGCGGATATAAGCTATATATAAGTAGTATGTGTTTAATGTTTTTTCTTGAACTTAAATAAAGAATTAAGGAATGTGTTTGGCCTCTCCTGACTGGAAGAACATCGCTAATTACTTAATGTTGGTCGCTCTTTTTGCCACACGAGCGGCACTTCGGGAGGCCAAAGCGGAGAAGGAGGCGAAAGAGGCGCGAGAGGCACAAGAGGCGAAGGAGGCGCAAGAGGCCAAAGAGGCCAAGGAAGCCCAAGAGGCTGAAGAGGAAGCGAAAGAGCCGAAGGCTAAAGATGCTTCAGTGCCTAGGAGGAATTTAGGTGGAAGAAACCAGGCAGCGCGAAAGGAAGAGACGCATTGTGTGTTCATCTCCTTTTCAAGGAAAACTGGGGGGGGTCGCTGGTTCACTGACTAAAGGACCAAGCTCCAGCGTTTGTGGAAATGACTGTTACATCTTTCGATCAAATGCAGTCTTTAGCTCCCGTGTAACTTGACTCTTCGTGGTCACTTTGCCAAAAACAGTGACACTGGAAAACACATTGATCCCGATAATATATTAGATATTAGTTGGATTTTCCTGCGACCTCATGAACCTTCCAATGGGCCTGGGAACAGCCAACCTGTTTGTCCTTCGAAGGCCCTTCAGCTGCGACCAGAAACCTTCAGATCACAGCAACCACAGGAGCTGTTCTGTTTGTCAAGATCTCTTGGACCCGTCGGTCAGCGTACAGCTGTGGAAGGTCGACATGGTTCTTCTAACCACACAACCGCGCATTCCAACCGGGGGGTGCTCCTTGGCGACGCGCGCGGTCCTCGTTGCCGCATGTTGCCACCAGTCTCGGCTTGAGTGGACACCAGTCTCTGTGGAAGAACGAACCAACCCTCAGCCATGGCAGCGAAGTGTAGCGGCGTGAGGATCAAGGTGTTGAGCATGGCAGGGGAGATTCTGTACTCCCTGGAAGCAGACCAGTCCTGGAAGGCGCGGCGAACGAAAAAAAACCAATCTGTATAGCTTTAATGCTTGAAGAGACCTTCGAAGAACTATAAGTTAGGTTCGTGTGTTCTTTTCCTGTGGCCTTTATCTTGGAATAGGCACACGGATCTTTTTTTTTTCAGGCAACACGAGAGTGTCTTTGCTTGTAATGAGAGTGTTTTTGTTTTTGCTTCCGAGGGAAGATACGAACGTTGCATGGCAAACCTGGTCTGCCCATGGTCTCATGTCTAGAAATCTTCAAGCTGGCGCGACGCGTGGTTGGAGCAAGCAGTAGTTGGACGTGTGCAGCACACCCATATATATATATATATGCATGTATATATGGAATGTATAGATATATGCCGATACATTGGCTATCATTGGCTCCTGACAGCACCCCAATGCCTATGCAATGTATGTAGAGAGATATGCCAATGCCTATTGACTCCTGACAGCACCCCAATGCAGGTATAATATATGCCTGTATGCCTATATGCCACATATGTTGAAACTCATCACCTGAAATGCGAGCGTTGGCTGTAGGGAGCTGTCTTTTCATGCCCAGCGCAGCTGCTTGATCAGCAGGCTGTCCAAGTGTCCAGCATGAAGTTGGCACACCACGCCTCACCCCAGCATCGGGGGGCCCAAAAGCAACGGGTGAAGCTATTTGGATCTATTTGGCCTTGTAGGTCATTGAGCTCAAGCAGCAGATCGCGAGCTATCTCCGCCCTGTGAAGGGGCTTTTCCAATTGAGCTTGGAAGACGGAGTGCTGCAGGATTGATTGGGATGTGAATTCAGACGGTTCAGACGACAGGGTGTGACAGGGTGTTCAAAGAAATCCGGAAAAAACAAGTTGCTCTTGGCCTCAATACTTCGCAATTCGGTTGGAAAACCGTAGACAAACATCACCTCCAGCCAGTCACCTCCGAAATCGGAGACGCGCGGCCTCCGCCTCGTAGAAGCCAGCAGAGGTTGAAGAACCCGAACTAGACTATCCTATAGGTACCCCTGGTTACGGGTCCTATTTACGGTCACTGGATACCTCTGGAGGGTAGCAGCAGTGTACCCCGTGTTCTCTTCGGGTCAAGTGGCCGGTTCTTTGAGGCGACCTGGACCTACACATTCACGTCACCGTCGTTGGGGTCAACGGAGACGTTGTTCAGATTCCTGTGGTTTGACTGAGAATCAGGGACATGATCCCTTACCATTACCATATACCGAAGAGGATCCAGCCACCCCAACAAAATCCTTTAGAGCTTGCTTCCATCGCACCAGTCAGAGATCAATGGTGCGACCTGCAGGACCATGAAACCTTGGCAGATCGTCTGGGCACCGACCTGACACTCGACCTGGAGGCTGGGTGAGCAGCTGAGGGGCGCTCGCATCAAATGGTAGAGTCTGTGCATGGATGTTGAAACAGGAAGACCCTCGCCGCGAGGTCACAAAGTAGTCAAATGTGAGACGCACCATAAACACACCTTAAGTATCCTTAACTTGATAAGAAAAGAACACAACATGGAAAAAAAAATACATCACACGAAAAGACATTTCCCGTCAGGTCACGTTGATTTTCGAGGCCTGCGACTTGGAGGCTCTCTTGCTCCCCCGACGGTGCATCGTCGACCGGCGGGCGCGGGTGGTGACGGAGGATGTGGAGGAACTGAGACGGCTGTGCAGCATGGCCAAGGATGCCTGGCAGGGGTATTTGGCCTGGCCACAACATGAAACCAACTAAAACCATATGAAACCACTAAAAATCATGATGTCATTACTTAATGTTGGATCCTGATTAGTCAAGGGCGGTCCCCCCCCCCTCCTTCAAACAAATGGGGGACCCTCTATAATAGACTACCACCAAAACAAATCTGGGTTCCTATGAGGATTCCTTTTTGTAATTGATTGTAGTATTCATGTTCCTTTCATAGATTGTATATCAGCTAATGAATCATAATCATTCGCCTCAGGAGCTAAGTAAAGGAAGATTCCATGAGCAGTTTTTTCCAGTGGAAAAAACTTTTCACAATTGAGAACCCTTAAAACAAATCTATTATTGAGGATCAGGTGCCTTCCTGGTCTACTACCTTGGAAATTTGTTTAGGAGCAATGTTTTATAAAGGTTTAATTAGGAATTGGTGGTTTTGGAAAGCTGTCAGTTTTGAAGAAACCTGGAGAAACCTATATCAGCTAATGAATCATAATCATTGGCCTCAGGAGTGTTTTCCAGTGGAAAAAACTTTTCACAATTGAGAACCCCTAAAACAAATCTATTAATATTGAAGATCAGGTGCCTTCCTGGTCTACTTACTACCTTGAAAATTTGTTTAGGAGCAATGTTTTATAAAGGGTTTAATTAGGAATTGGTGGTTTTGGAAAGCTGTCAGTTTTGAAGAAACCTAGAGAAACCTATATCAGCTAATGAATCATAATCATTGGCCTCAGAAGCAATTCAATCCCTCATTAATTACGTGTCCAATATAAAAAAATAGGGTCCCCCCCAAACAATAGCATTATTCAGGATCACTTTTTCAAACATGGGGTCTAGAATAATTTGGAAAAAATCAGCATTATTGAGGACCAGTTTACTAATCAGCATCCAACATTAGGGCGCTTAGGGTTGGATGGTCTTTTTTTGAGATATTGATATATGAGAAAAGGTGAAGCCGGTCTCATCTCATATGAAGGCCCTAAGTTTTTGAGGTTAAGACTTGTTTGGTACCTTTTAGGTATTTGAGTTTCAGGTGCAAGGCTTCTGTTGGGGCTGCCAAAGAATTACAAAGCCCATTTGAGAGTGTACCGAGTCAATTAATTATTCTCATGTTTGTGTTTGGCGCTGGTAGACTGATGTATGTGTTTTTGAATTGGGGAGAAGTTCCAGGCAGGCAGACCTCCTTTTGTGAAAGAATTATCGACTCCGACTAAACTTACTAAAGGTGCTTGGTGGGAGTTTGAGTGTCTCCCGTATGCCGCTGTGAGCCTGGACAGTGTTAGGAGATCCTTTGTCAAGAGCCATCGGTGCTGGACTTGGAACCTCCTTTGACCCTGGTAGCGCATTTGGCGGGGCGCATGGATCAGCTGAATACGATCTTCACCCAACTGGGTGAGCCGAGTTCACAGACACCCTACCTTTTTTTGGGAAACTATTTGAACAGAGGCGAGGCTCACTGTTGTGTGTCCGACCGACAAAGAACGTGTGGCGTTCGTCACCCGTGTGGCGTGTTGGGATACAAGGGGCCTGTCCAGAACTTGGGGTGTCAAATGGGTCGTCAGACCAAAAGTATAGAGATGTACCAGGACCCTCCAAGGGGTGTTTATTTATAGCCCCTTAGCTGTTAAAGGGGTGTCCATTAACCACCCCTTGGAGGGTCCTGGTATAGAGCTACTCAGCTATCCCTAACAATCCATGGGACTGGACTTGTTTTGCTTTTTTGTCGAATGAGTTCAAGATCATTGAAGGGTCGACGGTCCAAGTATGTAGATCTATTCCACATAAGTCTGGGAAATTGTTGATACCCGAAACCCTCCAAAAACGCTCGCCAGTGCCGGACCTTTCGCTGCGACCGACCTTTCGCTCTCCTGCAAGCGCTCCGCCCTGTCGCAGGGCGACAGAGCTCGGAGGTGCTGATCATGCTCTTGGCACTTCGGCAGCACGTGTTCCTCGAACAGGTGTTTCCCACCAACGACCTCGACCGATTCACAGAGTCATTGGAGGAGGTGAAGGTGAAGTGACCTCATCAAAGGGACCCTATAGCTAGGGTAGTAATGGGATAGTCTATATAGGGTTTTTCAACCTCTGGTGAAATGACCTAAAAGGTCGGGACCGCAGCAGCGCGGGTTCCCCGGTGTTTGAAACGGACATCCGAACGCGAGCGAAACCTTTGCGGTCCACGCGGGCCGAAGCTTGAAACAAGGGGGGATCTTCAGGTGTATTGGGTGAGAAAGGCACCAGTTCGCGTGAATGATGTGATGTTGAACTATTTTGAGCACTGAGCATTTTGATGCATTTTGTAGGTTGGTAATACATACATATCTTTCAATTTTAGGTTGTGTCATTCCATGTTGTCCAAGACGTGCTTCGTGAGAACTACCCCGGTCCTGGCTGGAAACTGAGGCATACAAGTGCAAGTTCCCCGAGCACGTTCATTTGCTTCGAGGTCAGCAGGAGACTCGAAAGGCCACTAGGGCCAAGGGCTTCTACGATGAATGCAAGAGGATCTATAATGTGAAGATCTGGAAGAGCTTCATGGAGGTCTCCCAGCCAACATGTAATTTGTTTTGTAGAACATATAGAGCAATTCACTGTTTTCTTTTTTTTGCCTGGACTATTCTGCCCTGTGTGTCCCGGCTGGGCTACACTAACTATATTAATAGTTAGGGATTTGTGGACAGGACACGCAGACAGGATGGTCGAGGTGGGTATATCCATTCTGTAGTTCTTTTTGAAAACCTCCCGCATCGCGATCTTTAGGTTCCTAGGGACGCAGTTACAGTTGAGTTTTCTCAGCAGCGGTTGTTGTCCCCTAAACAAAGGAGCCGGTGGAACTGAAGAAGACCCTCTCCAGACCAGATCAATCCTTTTGGTGTGGTTCACGCTGGCCCTGAAAAGACCACCTTTAGAATGCGGAAACTTCGTTGCACCTTTCAGCTCCATCAAACGGGAAGATCCCGTGAAAACATGGAATTGGAGGAAACAGCTATACTATGTTCTTTGCTGAACATGTCATGCTCGTTTGACTATCATCTTACATCATTGGATTTACCGCAAGAACCTGGGTATACCCGGGGCGCGATCTCAGAGGTCTTGGATCACTTGCCTCTTTGTGCCTTGGTGAAGAGCCGCATCTTTTGCGTCTCTGGTGGTTTGTCGCCCAGAACTTGCAGTTTGGAGCAACTGCGGCGAATACCAAGACCCACTGCAGCAGAGGGGGATGAACTAGTGACCTGCAAGCTAAATAACACCTTGTTTTCTGTTTCTTTTGTTTGTGTGTTCCTTGCACTTTGATGTGTTGCTCTTTGACTTTGGCCGTGGGGTTGAGGCTGACACGAGCCCCACTATATAGTCAAAGCAATCCTTGATTACAGGGAGACTTGTAGTTCTGGCCCAGTGATCTTCCAAAGGAGGGACTCCACACTGGTCCTCACTCTTGATTTCTGTTTGACCCCCAGAACCACTAGCTTCACCAGCCAGCCACTCAACTGGAGACCACCCCAGGTCTGTGATTTGTTGTGGTCCTTCCCCGAAGAGCTGCCGCTGCCATGCCTTGCGGCTTCGGAGGGTTGCTGCTACGGCCCCGAGGTGGTGAAGCAGTTTTTGAAGGCATCGTCGGCGTCGCATTTCGCCCATACGACCGTCTTTGCTTGGACCCGGCTTAGCTTGTTTTTCGGTACTAACATGTTTAACACACGACTCACATGACCGTCATATACCGTCACGACCCATTTAACATACATGCAATTACTTGTAATTGCCGCTGGTATCCATGTTTCCAATGTATTTGGAGGGCCAACAACGTTTGATGCGCCCGTGGTGGATCGGTTTCCCGGTGGTGGATCCCAACCACCTTGGCTTTGCAGTGTCCAACTATTTGAGGATGGAGATACGGAGGGAGGATCCTGTTTGTTTGAGCTTTGTCAAGGTGTGTGGTGTATATACCCGTTTGGTCTCCAGTTGTACCGAACCTGAGAAGGTGGGACTGGGGTGGGTGCCAGGAGGGTCCAGTCATACCGAACCTGAGGAGGTACTTGGAGGTGTGGTGTGATATGGTTTGTTTGATATACACCGTATGTGTAGAGTTATTGCCCTCCGGCCTTCAGGCCCTCCCGTGTTAATAAGTTCAGTTGTCACTTGCTTGCCTGCTCAGATAGGTTTATTTGAGCACCAATTGCAGAACCAATTGCCAAGACGTTGGTTCGATTTCACTGTGAAGTGATTTCCTGCTTTTGGGATGGGTCAAAACCTGGAGCCCCAACACCATGTAGCTTGACCTTCGAGGTAGGCTTGACCTTCGAGGTATCCCGGTGCCACAACCTGCTGCCATTTCAGGATCATCAGTTGGAGCTGGTGGTGCAAGGAAACCTGGTGAAAGAATCTGGTTATGATGACACCTTTGCTGACGGAAAGCTGGTGACCGTCTTCAGTTGTGCCAACTATGCGGAGGAAAGAGTCTCGAACAAGGGTGCAGTGATGCGCATTCACGAGGATCTCACATACATCTTTTGCACCCATGAGTGCATTGAGGAGCATCAAGTTTAACCGTTTGAAGTCCGGTTCGATATTGAAGAGATATCAAGTGATCAGAGAGGCCTTGCTGTGGAGGAGAGAACAAAGAGGTATAGAGAGAGGCATTTGGAAAACCACGTGGGATGTCCCAACTTTGCAAAGACTGGCAGATTGCTTGGTTTGAGCCTGGTGATTGGCAACGATGCTGTTGAAGGCAGGAAGGCGCTGGATGCTGCTGTAGGGCCGGATTGTGTTCTTCCTTGAAGATTTGAAGATGAGTTCACCAGTTCAGATGGGCAAATCTATTTGACCCTTGGTTCATCTGCTTCACTTGATGCATCAATAGAATCGACTCCAGACTCACCTGCCAGAGCTCCAGAGCTCCAGACCCAAAAGGACCGGCTTTTCAAAAGGGGTTTTGCAGGGAGCTAGACCGGCAGGGCCGTGCAAAAAGGGACCTGACGAAGACGGACGAAGATCTTGGTGGGTCATGTCATGTCCTTCCCAAAACGGAAAACACGTGGGGCTCTCTGTCCTTCCCCACCTTGCACCAGATCCAAGCTGAATTTTGGGTCTGGGTCATGATTTTCCCAATATGTTCCATCGGCAACCTTGATGAAACAAGCTGAGTCTTCCTTATATTGTTTCAAGCTGAGTCTTTGGGGTGTTGCCCACGAAGGCGGGTGGGAACCCAGCGGGTCGCACGGGCACGGGCGCCGAGGCGGATGCCGCGCCGGAGGCGGGCGCGCGGGCGCGTATCGGTGACACCGGTGGGTGGGGATAACACTGGTCAAGAGACGATGTTTTTTGTGCAGGAGACAATGATTGGGGATAGGGCCATGAACATAGAACATTACCTCAGCACCAATCAGCGGCCAATATAAAACCATGTGTGTTTAAACGTGCCCCCCGTAGTGGATTGCCAATGAGGCTCCCAGGAATTTCTTCTCACCGTTAGACTACAGTCACTTTGGTCCAGACCGGTGAAATGGAGTTACCAGGAGTCACAAGACGGGGTGCCGAACTTGGAGGATAGGGGAACAAAATGTTAAACACGTTACTTCCAAGAAGTTTTCAAAAACTCAATTTATAGCAGTACAAAAACTAAAAAAAAAAGGATTCACAAAAAACACAACAGACTACCACATATAACATCATTCATTTTTCAATATCATAACTACTAACCATTTGGTACCTCATTCACGTTTCAAGATCATTACAGTGAATACATAACTATCTCATTCATTCCACAAAAGCATCACTACTAACCATCTATTACCTCATTCATTCCTAAAACATCATAAACTACTAACCATGTATTACCTCATCCCTTTTATTGAAATCATAACACTCGATACATCATCACCTCATCCATTCTATACCCAAACAAACAACCAAACAACAACCAATAAAACTAGCCAAGCAAAGAACAACATAAAGGACACAAAACAATAGACAACAATATAGCATAACCCCTCACCTTTAATAATCCTATCTTACAAATCCATAATTCTAATAGATTTTATTAGAAATATGTTAGTAGTAAATGTATTCAATAACTGTTAACTTAAAATAAAAGGCTTGTATTCCTATTATACTGTATTCCTATTATACTATCTTTATCTTGGTCTCCTTCAATAGCGGTATTTATTTCTTCAACTGCTTTATGTAATACTTCATCTATATTATCTTCATCTACATATTCATCAAAGTCATTCATAAAGTAAATCTATCTATAGCTACATTCATTTTGTACATATTCCTTTTCTGGGAGTTTTGCCACCAATGGAGCTTCAATATCAAGGTTAACTCTATAATTTAAATCAGCTTCTACTTCTTCATAAATCAAGGATATTAATTCTTCTTGTTCTTCTGTTATTATGTCTTCTATACTGTTCAAACTAAATGACACTCCCTCTCTCATAATACAGTATTCAATTTTGTATATATATATATAACTATATATATGTTTTATTGATTTCAAATGTCTTGTCATTTTTGGACCAAGTCTTGAAATATTATATGTGTTTTGTATGCTCTTCAATGCTTCACTATGTTTTTTTTTTCACATATTCAGGTTCTCCATGAACTCCATGAATATATGATACAATTCATACAATGCATCCAGTAATATACTTAACTGACTAATCTTTAAGTAAATATTCTAAGATTAATATAAGGTATTATTTTAAAACTACTTAAAGATAGATTATGTAAATAAAATATATAATATTATATGAAGAATAAAAATATATACTATCTGTTGAGTAATTTCATTCATTCATTCACTTCCAGCCTGAGTCGAGTCACGCCCGTGTTGGGCTGCATGGCGTTTTGCCATGGGTGCTTCGTGAGCATCAAAGCCACACGCACGAGCAATCGGCGTCAAAATCAGGGAAAAGCCGTAGCCAGCAAATCCGACAGGTCTTCGGATGGGCGGTGCTGCTCAATCGGTCGGCGCCACCACAAGCTCAACTCTTCATGAGGAACCAGCCAAAAGAGGTAGGCGGCCCTTCTCAAGGGATCCATCACTGGACACAAGGTTGCAGCCCGATCGTCATCTGTGAGCCAGGAGCTTCCTGAACTGATGTACAGGCATTGGTAATGTCCATTGGTGGGCTCCGAGCCAAAGTGGCACAAAATGCTGACCACTCGATAGGCTTCCCAAACAGAAATACCAAAAAGAGGAAGAAAAGAATTAAAGTCCATAATCATAGATGAAAAGAAATTCAGATACAACAAAAACAAACCCATATCAAATGTTTTAACAAATAAATTATTATCAGTACAGAAAACTAATGAATACAGAAGTTCTACTTTAAACAAGGCAAAGGGTGCTTTCAATGAAGGAAGAGTAAGACAAATACTGACCAAACACGCAATCAGAAACAAATTTAGGATCAGAGATGTTCAATCAGCATTTAGAGCATATGCTAATTCAATAGCTTTAGAAAATAAACACTTTGAAGGAGAAAGAGGTTTAGAAACGATTGCGCACCAAAAGCAAATACTGTTAGAGTTTTTAAAGAATAATAGAAGCATGAAACTTAACATAATATCATAAGGATTATTTGCAACACCTGAATATGCTGATGGAGGAAATGACATTGGTAGTCAAGAACTTGTATATGGCTTACCATCAACATATTATCCAATTCATAATGAGGATGAACTGACACAAGCATTAGAAGATAGTGTTTCCAATTCTTACTACAAATACAAAATATTGAAGCATCAACCTCTAATTTAAGGTTTTACAGATAAAATTTGTCACCATTCACTATGACAAATTTGACCCAACAAGAGCAGGCAGTTTTATAGAATTACCAGAATGGATTAAGTTAAAAAAAGGCATGTATCAACATTAAACACAAAGACCAAAAATGCTTCAAATACTGTATTCAATCCGTAGTCTTTGACAAAATAAGCAAACATCACCCAGAGGAAATGTTCCACTATAACAAATTGAATGATAACATTTTGAACTGGGATCGTGTAAATTTTCCAACTGGTAATAGGGACATAGACAGATTTGAAGAAACAACAAATTAGTTTCAATAAATGTTTTTGAAGCTGATGACTGCCTTAATGATAATAAGATTATCATACATAGATGCACTAAAAATAGAAATGCTAAATATGAAATTGATGTATTAAAAGTCTATGATGAAGATACTAACTATCACTATGTATTAGTGAAAAACACAAGTAGATTACTTAACTGCCAAAGCAATAAACAATATCAACAAGAAACACTGCCATCATTGCTGAAACCCTTTCTCATCAGAAAAGGCATATAAGAACCATCTTGAAAAGGGATGTATGGCATCAGAAGGACAACAAACAAAGATGCCTGATAAAAACACTTACATAGAATTTGAAACGCATAATACTAAACTGCCTTGTCCTTTGTAATCTATGGTGATTTTGAATGTCTAACCACTAACTCTAACAATGGTACAAAAGGCACATATCAGGAACATAAACCGTTCGGTTGTATGTTGAATGTAGTAAGCAGGATTGATAATACATGCCAACCATACTTATACAGAGGTGAGGATTGTATGAAGCATTTTGTTGAAAAAACTGACTGAAATTAAGAAAGATACTGTATATTTGAAAAACATGAATGTAAATAAACCCATGGATGAATTAACTTACGAACAAAAGACATAATTTAGACAAGCGACCCACTGCTCCATATGTAATAAGGAATTCCAACCTGATGATGAGAAAGACCGCGACCACTGCCACTTCACAGGTAAATACAGAGGCGCAGCGCATGTAAAATATAATCTGGATTTTTCATTTAGATGTTTTAAAATCCCTATCTTCGTTCATAATCTTAAAAAAAAAAAACACTATGACGCACACTTGATCATGGCCAGAGCAAATGAACTAAACATAGAACTAAACCAAAACAAAAGAATAGATGTAATAGCACAAAACAGTGAAAAGTTCATAACCTTTTCATGTTGTGCTTGTCAGTTTAAAGACAGCTTCGCTTTCTTAACTCATTGGATAAGTTAGTTATATATTAAGCAAATATGAAGGAAATCAAAAGATTAAAGATTGGGAAACTCGTTTCAGATATACAAGCACCAACCCATATATCAAATCTAAAACGGATTTGAATTTGCTGACTGATAAGGGTGTATATCCATACGACCATATGAACTCATGGGATAGATTTTATGAAGCAAAACTGCCAAAGAAATAACATTTTTACAGCAAATTTTATGAAGAAAACATAACTGACGAAGACTACACCAGAGCAAATATTGTATGGAAACATGTTAACATTAAAAACCTTGGTGAATAGCATGATTTGTTTTTGATGACTGATGTATATTTACTGACTGATGTTTTTGAAAAGTTTAGGGATAGGTGTTTGAACTATTATGAATTAGACCCATCATATTATATCACTTTACCCAACTATTCTTGCAATGCATTTTGTTCATTAACAGGAATTAGACTACAACAAATACACATAAAAGAAATGTATGAGATGATTGAGGTCATTGTATTGTTTTGTCTTGTGTGTGTTTCTGTTCCGCTGTTGCTATATGATTTCCTCATATTTGCTCTTTCCAACTCTTCCAGATTCAATGGACTCTGGAATTCTCCAACCATTTGGAGCAGCACATCAGTACATCTTCATTTAAAGACACCGGAGCGACCTCTTCGGCCCGCACTCCTCGAACCGAGCGCTTCGGCCTTCGGTCCAATCGATCGGCCTTCGATTGGGCCCCCGAGGCGACCGGCGAGGCGAAGGGCGACTTCAAGTTCTCTCTGGCGCCTTCGCCTGGCGGTGGCGGGTGGCAGGGTGCTTTATGGTTCTTTTCCGGGCGAAGAACCACGCCGGGTTGGCGGTCTGGTTGGCGATTTTCGTTGAGTGATGTTCTTTTGGATCTTTTTGGATTGCGTTTTT